TAGTGGAAGATGTCCCTGCCCATGGCAGGGGGTGGGACTGGGTGGTTTTGAAGGTCCCTTCCTTCCGAAATCCTTCTATGGTTTGGCATCCCAGAAGTGCCATCACGTAACTTCCAGTCAAAACAGGGTCCAGCACTGAAAACCCCTTAATGGATGTCTCAGTTCTCCAGTTAGGGGAAAAAGCAGCACAGTAAGGACAAAGATGGGTTTGTAGGGGGGAGCTGTGTGACTCGTGGGCATGCAGTGGTGACTGGGGGATGTCACTGGGCAGGGTTTGGCACGTCAGGGGCTCCACATGTTCTGCTGGTTCCCTCCCTTGGGGTGATACTGGCCACACTCAGTATCTGTCTGGCAGCAGCAAGGGACATTTAAGGGTTTTTATTTGGTTCTGCAGGGGCCTGTGAACCACCAGAGTTGCATGGCTCCCTCTGCATACAAGGACCCTTTTACCTCTTTGAGGATAATTATTTGGTGGACTTCAGAGGCCCAGAGGAGTTTTGGATCCTCCATGGTTGGAGGTTTGACCAGAAAAAGGCTTGAGCAACCTGCTCTGGCCTCATCCTGACCCTGCCTTGGGCAGGAGGTTGGACTGGAGATCTCCCAAGGTTCCTTCCAACCCGAATTATTTCGTGGATCTGTGATAAAGGTCTGTGATATATAAAGGATTGGAAGGATATTACATCACTGTACCTTTTGACTGAGAAATCCATGGATCTGTATTGCCTTTTTTTTTTTTTTAAAGATTGAAGTAACTGAATTTCATTTTGGAACTTAGAGAAAACCCTTGAATGACTTCTGTGTTTGCCTGCGTTCAGCACTCAAAGGGCTGCTGAGGGAGGATGTTGAAAACCTGCTGCAGAGCCTGGATTTTCTGCCTTCTTTTTTTTGCTATGTTGTAATTTTGTGGAGCATTTCTTATCTTTTGGCTTATGGTGATTTACAGACTCTTTATACCTGTCACTAATTAATGACTAATTACTGTATTTCCGATTGGTTACACTGTGCTTGCTCTGCTCTGGGTATTGTAAGGGTTTATGCCCCTAAATCTTACTTGCAGGACAGTTTTGTAGCTGCTTTCCATCTTATCCCCCCTGTGAACACCCCCATGCTCCAGGAGTGAATATCCTTGTAATACATCCTTGATTTACAAAGACTTCTCCCACCAGTTACCCAACTACTGTTATATTAGTATGCTCTAACCTTCAGCTCTTTTGAATTAGTGATAACTTCCATCACACTCTACGCTGCAGGATTCCAGTGAGCTGCAATCCTTCTGTGCTGCTCCAGGATTCCAGTGAGCTGCAATCCTTCTGTGCTGCTCCAGGATTCCAGTGAGCTGCAATCCTTCTGTGCTGCTCCAGGATTCCAGTGAGCTGCAATCCTTCTGTGCTGCTCCAGGATTCCTGTGTGTTGGAATCCTTCTGTGCTGCTCCAGGATTCCAGTGAGCTGCAATCCTTCTGTGCTGCTCCAGGATTCCTGTGTGTTGGAATCCTTCTGTGCTGCTCCAGGATTCCTGTGTGCTGCAATCCTTCTGTGCTGCTCCGGGATCCTGTGTGCTCCGGTGGTTTTGGAATCCTTCTGTGCTGCGTCGGGGTGCTGCTCCGGATCCTGTGTGTAGGAAATCTCTTGTGCTGCTCCAGATTCCCTGTGTGTGCAATCCTTCTGTGCTGCTCCAGGATTCCTGTGTCTGCAATCCTTCTGTGCTGCTCCAGGATTCCAGTGAGCTGCAATCCTTCTGTGCTGCTCCAGGATTCCTGTGTGTTGGAATCCTTCTGTGCTGCTCAGGATTCCTGTGTGCTGCAATCCTTCTGTGCTCTCCGATTCCATGGAGGAATCCTTCTGTGCTGCTCCAGGTGTTGGAATCCTTCGAATCCTTCTGTGCTGCTCCAGGATTCCTGCTGTGTGTGGAATCCTTCTGTGCTGCTCCAGGATTCCAGGATTCCTTCTGTGCTGCTCCAGGATTCCAGTGAGCTGCAATCCTTCTGTGCTGCTCCAGGATTCCTGTGTGTTGGAATCCTTCTGTGCTGCTCCAGGATTCCTGTGTGCTGCAATCCTTCTGTGCTGCTCCAGGATTCCTGTGTGTTGGAATCCTTCTGTGCCAATCCATGTGGGCTTTGGGCTTCTGGGCTGCCAGGAAACAGGGAAAGATTGGGCTTACCTTATTTCCTTCAAACTTCTATTTTTGATCTTCTCTCAGTCCAGTTTGGACTCTGAAGGGTCTGAGTCAGGCAGATTTGATGATGTTTTATTTTATATATCAGAAAACACTGAAGTTAGGGGAGTTTCACCTTACTGGAGACATTCAGTGTGGTGCTAAATCCAGAACTTGTGCTTTGCCACCTCTGGGAAATGGGCTGAACTTTGATTAACAAAAGGGATAATTGCCAGTCTCCAGAGACACAGATTCAAGGCTTCACTCTCAGTTCTAGTGACAATTTTTAAATTAATTTGTTCTAATTTTCCAGTGTCACAAGTGAATCTCCTGCGCAGCCCTTGCTTTGGGAGTTGGGCCATTGGGCTGACAAGCTGAAGTCCCCAGTTCACAGAATAACTGAGCTGGAAATGACATGGAAATTTGTGTCAGAGACAGCATTTGCAGCTCTTGGTCACATCCTCTTGCCATCTTTGGCAAATATAAAATCTGAATTCGAGCATGAGAACACTGTAATTCTCACATTTATTTTTTGTGCCCACCACTGATGGCAACTGGCTTGTTTTATTTTTTGTCACATGTAAATATTTTATTCAGGTCCAGTGTAACTGACTCTGGCAAGTGGGATGTGGCCTCCTCGGTTCCTGCGTGGAGGGCTGTGCCCAGCTCTGGTGACAGTCTGGCAGCACTGGGGGGTTTGGGAGAGTTTTATTTTCTAATTATTATTAAAAAAAAAGAAAAGAAAGAGCTGGGTGAGAGAAAATGCTGTGTGTAAACGCTTCCCAGATATATTGCTGTGCCAGGTATGGCATGGGTTTATTCCAGTTTATTCTAAATGTTATTTGAAAGTGTGCACGTCTGTTCTGAGGCTGCCTGAGCCCATAGGCAGAGGCACTGCAGCCTGGGCTGTGCATGTTCTGTCCCAGTGGTTATTTTCCAACGTGCAGCCTCTGGCAGGTCAGCATGATGTCTTGCCTGGAATTTCCTTGCATTCTAAAATTAGGAGAAGGCTCTAGGAAACAATAGCAAATCAAGTCTCTAAACTCCTGCTCCCCCTGAACCTTTGTTGTCATTTAGACTTTCACCCACTTCCTTCTCACCGAGCTGGTTTGCATTAGATAAACTAAGTTAAACTAAGTTAAGCAGAGCCCACGATGGTCAGTGGTGAGAGGGCTTATTTTTCATTTATTTACTCGTTATACAATTGCTGTGCTACTTTGGGCCACCAGGAGTGGGAGTTTCCTGTCGGTGCTGTTCGTCCCAGAGCACTTTGTGTGTCAGGGGTGCTGTGGAAGCGGGACAGCTGCAGGGCACTGCTTTGGTGCCCTCAGACACACTTGTGCCCAGCAGCGTGTCCCGACGGGGATCTGGGAGCTGCAGAGTTCTGATCTGCAGCAGAACCTTCTCCAGGTACACCACCAGGCCCCAGGGTTGTCCCTGCTGAAGGGGTGAGCAGCTCCATCGTGCTCTGCACCTTGGGGGGTTATGTTTGCTCCACCTCTTCATCCTCACCCCTCCCTTGTCTGCTCTGTGCTCTTGTTCTCTGCAATGTTGTGGGGGTCCCACCACCCCACACCTCACGGTACCTCCCGGCTGTTCCTGGGGAGGTCTGTCCCAGCAGCTTTTGTGCAGGTGGATACCTGGAAATGTATCACACTTGAGGAGGGAGGTTCGGAGCTCATTCTGGTTTGATCCCTCTCAGCCTGTGCTGCATGAGCAGCCCTGACTCTGTCTGTGTTTCTTGACCTGTGAGTGATCTTAGGGTTCCCTGTGCTGCTGTGACCCCCTCCCTGCCTCTGCCGAGGACAGACACAGGGTGATGTGGATTAGAAGTGGCTTCTGTGTGTCACTGCACAGACCTGAGTTTGTTCCAGGTCACTTCTTAAACGATCTCATTTTCTGCAAGTGGCCCCAGGTTGTTTGTTTATTATTCCCAGCACTCCAAAACAATCCAGGAAATGCAGCAAACACCCCAGCCCTGGTTCCCATCCTGTCCAGGATCCGACCTCCGGCAATGGTTAGAAGCAGCTGCAGGATTTGCTCAGTTGATAATTACAGTCCATTGTGTTTAGAGAACTCACCGGGCCTGGTGGTGTCTTGGAGGAGTGTGATTGATGGATCGTGGAACTTGCCATCTGCAGCAGATGGAGTTATGGGAGCCAGGGTGGGTGTGAAGAGGTTAGGTGTTGTGAGGCCCCTTCCAGTCACCATTCCTATGGCTGTTGTGTTTGTAGAAAGGAATTTTCTTTCCTTCTCTAGTTTTGTGTTACTTGGGCTGGACAGCTCACCTTGGCCTTTTCCATCCGGCACAAGGGGCACAAACACCCTCCCTGATTGTGAGGGGGCCTGCCACTGATGTCCTGATAAAACATCCTGAGCAGCAGATGTGTGTGATAGCGGGGGCAGCACTTTGGACTGGAAATCTCCCTGTGTTTCTCCCTGGCTGGCTTGCCTGGACCAGACTCAAACTCGAGTGTCTGTCGCAAGCTGCTTTAGAGTGACTTCCCCGTGGTGCTGGCTTTGAGAGCCTGAGGCAAACTCTTATTGTAGGAAACAAGGAATGTCCAGTTTGTATCCTACACGGGAGGGAGAAGAAGAGTGAGATAACAAATGCTAAATGAATGATTGAGCTAAACTCATTTATGCCTCTATTCTTTCACCATCATCCCTTGTAGCCTTTCGTGGGGGCTCTCATTCATGCAGTGACTGCCCTGGGAGGGCCTGGCCAGGACAGGGGTTATGGGAGCAGCCAAGTGTCTCAGGGATGGCCCTCAGGCTTGTCCTGAGGTGGGGAGATTGGTTTCCCCCAGAACTGCTGCTGACCCAGTTGTGTCCTCTCTGTCACAGCCTTTCTTCAGGCTCCTGAACCTGCGCAAGCTGGGCCTGAGCGACAATGAGATCCAGAGGCTTCCCCCCGAGGTGGCCAACTTCATGCAGCTGGTGGAGCTGGACATCTCCCGCAACGGTAAGGCTGGAGCTGGGCGGGAGTGGTGCCCAAGCCCTGCAGTGCTCCAGTGCCCTCTGGCTGGGAGAGGCAGTGCCCTTTCCACACCCTGTGGAGCAGTCCCTCGGGGATCCTCAGCTGTGACAGTGAGGTCATCTTACCGTGGCTCAGGCTGCCATCTGTACCTGCTGTCCCATTTTCCACATGCTAGGCTTTTCTCAAGCCTCTTTTGTTCTTTCACCTATTTTTTCCAGACATTCCAGAAATTCCTGAAAGCATCAAATTCTGCAAATCCCTGGAAATCGCAGACTTCAGTGGGAATCCTCTCTCCAGGTAAGAAGGCATATGTGACCAATTAGTCCAGCTGAGAAGAAGAGTTGAAGTTGCTTATTCTCCCTGGCTTTCTCTGGTCTTCATCTTGTTATTGTCTTCCTGTGAAGCCAAGGCCTGGGATCGCCCTGCCTGTGCCAAACCTGCAGGTGTCTGCTCTCCTGGTAGGCGAAACACTCGGCTCAGGGAGGAGCTGCTGTGTGCTCTTTCCTCTGCAGGGCCTGTGCCTTGGATTGATGAGCCCTTAGTTGTACTGGTGTCAGTGATGAGGACTTTGCTCCTGGAATGAGTTTGTTGCTCCCTCCCCATCCCTTCACTGTGGTCACAAACCAGAATGAATGTGGGCTGACGCTGCAGAGGAGGAAAGGCCCGTGTGGTGCTCTGCCCTCTCGGAGCCCCCTTTGTGCCCCCTCTGTGCTGCAGAGGAGGAAAGGCCTGCATGCCGTCCTTTGCTTCCTCTCAGCCCCCTTTTGCCCCTTCTCAGTCCCTTTTCCCTTCCTCTCTTATTCAGAACTGATGACAACTGTCTTTTGAACCCCCTGTTAGGTTGTTTCCCTGATATCTCAGCGCCCCGAGCTGTGCCCGAGTGGGAATCTCTGCCTTGTCTCTCAGTCCTCTGTCTCTACAGTTCTTAATCCATAATGTTTGGGAATTCAGTGTGGCTCCCCTGCCTTGATGAGCCGTGGTTTTGGGCACTGGTGTTTTGCTGCACTGTCTGCTGGGGTCCCTGCAGGGGCCACTCAGGCCCCAGGTGCCCCCTGCACTTTGTGCTCAGGGCAGGTGCTGCCCAGGTCTCCCTTTAGGCAGATTTAACTTTGCTTCCCTCCTGTGGTCCTGGGACAATCCAGCACTTCTTCACTAGGTGTTATTTGTCAGAGCCTTTTCCTGGCCCAGGTTGGGATGAGTGTGGGGAGACGGGGGCTCCAGGGGCTGCCTGCAAACAGCAAAGGAATTTCTTCCTTCAGGATTTTTCCCTGTTCTGTCACACCTTGGAGCTGTTGTGATGGTGCTTGGTCCCAGGGAATGCTGCAGTGAAATATCCTTTGTTGGGCACTTGTAGTGCTTGGGAGCCCTCTCTGCTTCCAAGTCCAAATGATCCCATGGCATGATTTAGTGTGGGATTCATGCTCGAGTACTGCAGAGCTGAGTTTGCACACCTGGACAGGTAGTGTCTTGTGCAAGGGGCTTTTGTGGTCTTGGGAACAGAACTTGTCCTGCATCAGTAGCCAGACTCAGCGTTGGTTCCTGCCTGTTTCCTTTCCATGTCTTGATACTACTTGGGAGCAGACTGGCTTGGGGGAATTTAGGTGTTTTGGGGCATTCAGTGCTTTGTACACAGGATTAATGGAATTTTGTTCGTGCTCTCACAGGCTTCCTGAGGGCTTCACCCAGCTCCGGAGCCTGGGCCACTTGGCCTTGAATGATGTGTCCCTGCAGAGCCTCCCCACTGACATTGGGAAGTGAGTATGGCCCTGTCCTGGCAGCGGGGAGAGGGCTGGGGTGGGGACAACACACTTGTGGGGTGGGGACTGGCAGGACCTGGAGGGATGAGCCAGAGGCAGCTTTGCACCAGTGCTGGCAGTGCTGTGTGGGCACCCCTGAGCCTTGGTTTGATAAAAACCTTTCTACAAAGGTTCCTGTCCTGGCCCCAGCAGCTTCTCCTCCGATTCTTCTCACTATGTTCCCAGGGCCCAGGTGCCCATTTCCAAGCAAATGATGACTTTGGAATTATTTATGCTGCTGGAAAATGGTTCCGTGGGACTTTGCCCATGGGGTACAGTGCCCTTCCCATGGGATTTTGCTTTCCACACTCGAGGGATTTTCCCTTTTTGGGCAGGCAGTCCTGTTGTGATGGCGTGTTCCTTGTCCTGAGTGTGGGCACAGTGTTGTTCGCCGTGACTGCACCAAGCGCTCGCCTCCATCAAAGCCATTTCCACCCCCGTTGTTTTTGTTCCCCCATCTCCATCCACGTGTGCACACTCATGCCTTGTGCAGGACACGAGGGGTCATCCCAGGGGAAGGGAGATGAGCAGCTCCTTGTATCCCTGCAGCCCTGTTCAGTGAACCTGGCTTTCTCGCTCCCTTTTCTCTTGCAGTTTGGCAAACCTGGTGACTTTGGAGCTACGTGAGAACCTGCTAAAGACTCTCCCCACGTGAGTGTGTGTCTGGGGGCTGTAGGAGGCTCCTGCCTCATCATTCTTGCTGCTTCCTTAGGGACTGATTCCTCAGGGACTAGTGCAGGCTCTGGCACTTGGCTCGGGAGGGCACAGGCTGGGCATCCGTCTGGCTGAATTTCAGTAAATTGGGGTGAGGAGGGAGAGGATGGTGCAGGGCTAGAGAACAGGGAAGGATGTTCAGAGCCTCTATGCAATCTCTGTGTCAGGATTGATTTGTAATAGACAGGGTTCCCCAAAAAAGCTTCTGGAAATAGTGAGAACCATTTTTCCTGGAGAGGTGGAGCAGACAATGGATTATTTTGGAAAAAGAGAGAAAACTGTACGAATATGGGCATAGGAGGAGCTCTGTGCACGGTGAGGTTTATGGTTTGAAGAGCAGCAGGATACAGCTGAAGGTACATTTTGCTTCTGACATCTGTTTTGTTGGGTATCCCTCCTGGTTGTTCTGGATGGGATAACTGCCTTCCCTGCAGCAGACAAAACATAAGCCAGCAAGAGAGAAGAGGTAAGTGTTGTTAAATGTTTCAGAGTTAGGGACAGGGATGAGTTCCTGGTAGGGGACCTGGTTAGTGCAGGTGGATGGACGTGGAGAACTAACCAGTCCGTACAATAATCTCTGCTTTGAGCCATGACAGTCGTTTGTTCAGTTTTCTACCCTCCATCAGCTCTGTCAGCTTGTTTCCTGCCTGCTTATCCATCCCACTGATGATTCCCCAGCTTTTCCTGTTGGTAGGGATTCTACCTGACCCTTTTTTGAACAGCAACGTGTTTTGGGCCACACAAACTCCTCCGTGAAGGTGTGACACATGCAGTTGTTATCACCTGTCCTCAGGGCTCTCTTACTGTTCCTGGTGGGAATTCAGTTCAGCTGCTGCTATTTTTCCCCTTTGCTCCTCTGGTTTATTTGAGGGAGAGGGCAAGGGAGGCAGCTGGTGATCCTATGTTGAGGCATTTGGGGCTTTAGTCTGGCTGGTGTGATGGCCATGCCTCCCTTGGAGGTGCTGCTTTGGCTCAGGCTCATGCTCTTCCCGAGGTTATTTCCCTTGGGACCTGCAAACACAGGCTTTATGTGGCACCAGTTGTATCTGCTTGTAGAATTCCTGCGGCAGCTTCAACTCAGAGGACAAGACCCTTCTAAAAGGAGCTAAAAGGACCTGCCCTGGTGTCATGGTTTGAGATAGCCCCAACATCCAATTCCCTAGCTCCATTCCCCCTCCCACATCTCAACCTAATGTGAGATGGGTTTTTCCAGACAAAACACACCAGACTCAAAGTGGGGGAAAGGGAATATATTACAATGACTGTACAAATAAATACCATATCACATTATACACATGATCACAAACTATCTCTACCATGACATATGTATTTACAATGGATCAGATCTCTTCTCCCCTCCAAATAAAAGTCCAGGAGGGAAAGAAGGACAGATCCCTTCCAGTCCTTAAACAGCAGCATCTTCTGAGGCAGCAGGTTTCTTCTTCTCATGCATGCAGCAGCTGATAGCTGGCTTTCTGCCAGCACTCCACGAGGGAGGTATCCAAGCCTCTCTCTCGGCCCCATCGCCTCACAACCGAGGGGTCTTCCGTGGACTTCGTAACCCCAGACAAGGTCGTTTCACCACGTCATATCACGAAGACACAGGGGGGTCTTCGTGACGGTCTGGTATCTCTTGCAGGGCCTCTGTGCCCTGTCTCTCAGGCTGCCACCGTGGCAGCAGTGCGAGGGGGGGGAGAGCCAAGGTCAACTCCCCCTGCATTCCTCTCGGAGCTCTCTAGCTCCTTTCTACAGTGCATGTCGCACTTCAAGGCTCTTTCAAGTAAGAGTCCATCATCTTCCTCCTTCCAGGAGGTCTCAAAGGAGTTTTGGGGATCTGGTATCAGTCTTACCCCCAAGAACTCTGTAGCTCTCAGCTGCTGGCTCTCCTTTCCTCGACTCTCCTTCCAGGAGTCTCCTCTGCAGTGCTGCATGTTGCTTCTGCTGCTCCTCCAGTTCAGGTCCTTATCTCTGGCTCTCTGCCACCGTTTCTCTGGTCAGCGTCGGCTGCTGCTCTGTGCCCATGGAGAAAACATCTCCCGGCATAACTACAGGCACCTAGCCCAGCTTTATGCTGTTCCAGGTCCCTGCAGCCCCCCAGCCAGGGGCTGGGAGGGGGCCAGAGGCCCCAAGGGGCTCAGAGCCCCTACCTCGTGGCTCTACAACATGGCCACCTCTCCTAACACCAAAACTACAACTCTTCTTTTCCGGTCTGGTTGTGGTATGTTTACATTTCTGCAGGAGCGTCCATTGGGCAGAACTTCAAAACTTCCAGGGGTTTCCACCCCTTGGGGTCTACCACTTCTCTTAGCCTCTGGGGAAAACAAGGTTCAAACCACTACACCTGGTCAGCTCCCAGGCCTCAGGTCTGGTGGTTACACCACATAGAAGCACAGATCAGAATCACACGATCACCTTGCTCTGGTGCCAGAGTCACCAGATCTTTTCTGCACAGAACTTGTCAGCAGTGATGCTGTCACAGAAAGGTGATAGGAAGGGACCAGCTGAGATGGTCCCGTGTGGAATATCACCACAGGGAGAAAACAAGAGCCAGAGCTCCTTATCATAGAATCCCAGGGTGGTTTAGGTTGGGAGGGACTTTAAAGCTCATCATGTTCCAAGCGCTGCCATAGGCAGGGACACCTTCCACTAGATCAGGTTGCTCCAAGTCCCATCTGGCTTGGCCTTGAACACTTACTCCAGGCTGAGAGTGAGCAAGCAGGAGGAGTTTGGGTCCTGGTGTTGAGCCCCACTGCTCTCTGGGCCTGTGCCTGGGTGTTCATACAGGCAGGTACCACTGCTGGGTTCCACCGTGTCGGTGAAGAGGTGCGGTAGCTACGTCCAAAGCTGGGCTTTCAAACTGCACTGAAGATGGTCCCAATGGCTTTCCACCATCTCAGAACCAGCAAGTGTTTGAAGTCTGAGAATCCAGTCTGTGACCAAAGCCCTTGGGTCTCCGTGGAGAACTCATGCCCAGTGCTCCCATGTTGCCCTGTGGTAGATCAGGGTGCCATGCACCAAGATACTTGTAGTGTGCTATGAGGTGTTGGAGTTTTTCACTGGAAGATTAGTCTGGGCTTGATACTCATTCTGCAGTGCAATTCCAGCTGCTTTTCATCTTTCTTCAATTCCCCACATTTTATTTTGGGATGACTTCCAAAAGTAGGAAATGGATCTTACAGGCCAAGGCAATTCTGATCAGATGTGTCAGTCAGATATGAGATCACAGTGGGCAGCCAAAGCCATGTCAGTGGTACTGTCAGGTTCCCTGCCCAGGCCTGAGGCTCTGGTACTTACTCTGGCTGCCCATCATGTCCAAGAACGACTAAATGAGTCCAGGTGACCTTGCCAAAGAGAAGAATGACTTACCCAAATGGCTGGTGCTTTGTTTTCAAGGTTCCTGAGCCCAGTGGGTAGATGGGCTTCAACACTGAGAATTTGGGATGACATAATCCATCAGTGTCGTTTTGGGATTTGTTGTTTTTGTTCAGCTCCTTGAAATATCCAGCTTGCAGTGACCTTTACTTGCCAAAATTCCATTTCATTGGTCAGTCTTCTGCTATCGACTGAGTTCTGAAACAATTCAGCTTGTACAGCTGAGAGTCACCCCTCGTCTCTCCCACACAGATGGGACACAGCCAATGACTTGGGAAGGGCAGCTCTCGGTGGTGTGTTCTCATGGAATAGTGGAGGGTGATCTATACTGAGGCCTTTTGCCAGTCCTTATACATCAGCGTGGATTCCACAGCTCACTTGTCCCTGTTTTGGGAATTCAAGCTGTGATGGTGCAAAGGGACAGTCAAGGCTGCATCACCTTCAGAGCAGTCAGAATCGATGTGCAGTCGTGGTGAGGGAGTGCTGTGCAACAGGATCCTTTGGATGATTCTGTTGATAAACCTTTGCTGGAGTTAATGTCATGTCTCAAAGTCCACACTGCATGCAGTAGGAACTTGCTTTTCCAGCATAGCCCAAACGTTTTTACAGTCTGGCCCAGACAAGGCAGCTCCCTTTTATTGCAGCCCCAACAGCCTTGGTTTGGGTGGTGTTGACAGGTGGAGCTGTTTCCAGAGAAATATGAGGATTTCTGGTTTGGGACAGTTCCTTAGGAAGAGAATAAAGCTGTTCCTTGCTGGGGGAGTGGGCAGGGCTGGGCTGGCAGCTCTGCCCTAGAACACAGTGAAGGGCAGCAGCCCCCCTCTGGGGAGGTGGGGTTGGAGCTGATGGCTCAAACTCAGGAGTGAGGACACGTGAGCACCTGGGCCATATCAGGTAAACCCACTCCTGGGTTTGTGGGACTGCAGGTCTTGTCCTTCCCCAGGTGTGATGTGTGGGGTGCTTGGGATGTGTCCATGGGCCACTAGTGGGGACAAAGCTGTAGGTCCTGTTCAGTGTCTTCATAGTGAGCTTCTGTCTGTACATCGTGACCTCACCTGAGACATCATGCCACTGTTGTCTTCCCTTCCTCTTCAGCAGCATGGGCATCCCGTTTGGGGAAGCTGAGGTTGTTGAGTTTGTCATTCCTCCCTGTCCCTGCAGCTGTGTTCCCCTTGCCCCCCAAACGTGTCTTGTCGTCTGCCGAGTCCCTCCTGTTACCTGTCAGTCCATGCCCAGGTCCCTGTCCTTGCTGCAGGAACGGGTAGTGACGTGAAGATGTGGCTGGTCATCTGTTATGGTTTTGCTCGAAGCGTATTTTGTGGTGGGAGGGGGAGAAGGCAAACTGCTATCGGTGAAACTGGCTGTACTGGGACTGCTGGTGCCTCTAAACTCAACTCCTTGGGGCCGAGGGTCTGGCTCGGGGAAGGTACCAGCTCCCTAAACTGCTCGGCTCAGAGGGACTGTGAGAAAGGTCAGGATTGCCCCACCTGCTTTAGGAGTTATTAGAGATCACGTGATTTGTGTGATGCGTGTCCCAGATGTTAACCTTCCGCTCTTTGTTTCCTGTTTTATCTCTCTCCCCTCTCTGCCCCCTGTGCCTTGCAGTTCACTCTCCTTCCTTGTCAAGTTAGAGCAGTTGGATCTCGGTGGCAATGACCTGGAAGTACTGGTAGGTGAGGGCTGGTGGGGAGGGAATGTGGGTGGTTGGTAGGGGCAGACCCTCTGTGCAAGCAGGTGGGTTTTCACCTGAGATGCAAAGAAATAGACCTACAGGTTGTTTGGGAAGATTCTGATTTGCCCAGCATGGCCCAGTTGTTCTTCCCAGATTAATGTTCTCTTCATGTGTCAGCCCTTGTGTCTTGTGCCCTGCTGGCCTCACACACAGCTCGCTCTGCCCTTTCCAAGTTCTGGGGTGGTAATTCTTCCTGTCTGGCTGCCAAGGATCTTTCCGAGGAGCCTCTCTGGTGCTTCCCTTCTCCTCTGTCCTGCACTGCCCCCAGCTGTTTTTCTTCTCATCCAGCTTCCTACCTTTCTCCTTTCTGATTTGATTTCTGCCCTGTGAGTGCTGGGCCATTCCATGTTGTCCCTGGCAGTAGGGGCAACCCAGTGTGGGGGTTGTCTCCATGGAGGGCTCAGTGTGTGGAGAGCCAGGGCACAGTCTCAGAATTCATCTTGTCTGGGTATTCAGGGACACCCAGTGACATTCTGTAACTTTGCAGCTGTGGATTAAGCTGTTACTGGATCCTGCTCTTCATGTTCTGGAATGGGTTTTGGCAGAAAACCATCAAAACTGGGAGGCAAAGGGGTTTGTGCAGCTTTGCTGTGCAGAGGCTGAGCTCACCTGTGAGAACAGGTGTCTGACATGTGAGCCACACTGCAGTGGAGCAGGAACTCCAAACCCAAATGCTGATCAGTGGGGGGGGTTTTGGGGTATGAACATATGTCTGCCATGGCTGCTGGTGCCGCTGGGTTGTGTTGAGTTGGCCAGTGGTACCCGAGTGTTTGTTTCCATGTGTGAGAGGGGGAAGACCCATTTCATCTGTAAGGCCAGAGTTTCCAACTCCCTAGAATCATGGAATCATTTAGGTTGGAAAAGAACTCTGAGACCATGGAGCCCAACTGCTCCCTCAGCACTGCCAAGGCCACCACTGCCCCATGTCCCCAAGTGCCACATCCACATGGCTGCTAAACCCCCACAGGGATGGAGACTCCACCTCTGCCCTGGGCAGCCTGTGCCAGGGCTGGACAGCCCTTTCCAGTAGGAATTTCCCCAATATCCAACCTGAACCTCTCCTGGCACGACTTGAGGCTGTTTCCTCTTGTGCTGTCCCTTGTCCCCTAGGAGCAGAGCCCCACCCCAACCTGGCTTCACCCTCCTCTCAGGGAGTTGTGGAGACCAAGAAGGTCCCCCCTGAGCCTCCTTTTCTCCAGGCTGAGCTGCCCCCAGCTCCCTCAGCCGTTCCCCATCAGACTTGTGCTCCAGATTTAGTTCTTGCCTTGCCCACTGCCAGACAGTCCTTCTGTTGCCTTCCATGTTTCCTGTGGGACCTCCTGCAGCCAGTGGGCTGCCCCAGACATTCCCAGACATCTCTGCTTCTATCTTGTAATAAACTGTCCAGTGGATGGTCTTGGGAGGTGTGAGAGCCAGAACAGTGCCTGGCTTTGCAGAGTGTGGTGTATTTGTAGTGTCCTCAAACAGCTTCTCCCCGTGGAAGGGACTGATGCCATCACTGTCCCGTCTCTTACAGCCGGACACTCTGGGCGCGCTCCCAAACCTGCGCGAGCTTTGGCTGGACCGGAACCAGCTCTCGGCCCTGCCTCCGGTGAGTGCCATTTGAGGCCCTCGCTCACCCCTCTGCCTCTGCCCCAGCTGCTCCCTGGAGCTGTGCTGTCTCCTCTCTGATCCAGGAGCTGGGCAACCTCCGCCGGCTGGTCTGTCTGGATGTGTCGGAGAACAAGCTGGAGCAGCTGCCCAACGAGGTCAGTGGGCTGGTGGCACTGACGGACTTGCTGCTGTCACAGAACCTGCTGGAATGCATTCCGGATGGGATCGGTGAGTGTCACGGGATGGGGACCACTGCAGGACTTCACTGCCTGGACAGTGCTTCTGGGGGAGCTTCAGGCAAGAGTGTGTGTGACAGAGAATTAGGGCTTTGTGGGCACAGGTACAGTCACTGAGAACAGAAGCAGTGGGTGATACAAGTGGGCAGAACTCTCCAGGAGAGTTCAGGTACTTCTTCTGCATCAGGCGTGGATGAGGCCTGTGAACAGGCCTGGTGGGAGGAAAGGCAGAACCTGTGTTGTTGGGTTACATGATCTCTGATGGGATCATGGCCAGGTGAGTGTAGAACAGCATCCTTTCCCCTGGCACAGCTCACACCTAACTTGTTGCCCTGGCCAGGTCAGCTGAAGCAGCTCTCCATCCTCAAGGTGGACCAGAACCGGCTGACAGACGTGACAGAGTCAATTGGGGACTGTGAAAATCTGTCAGAGCTCATCTTGACTGAGAACATGCTGACGGTGAGTGCAGGGCAGCCACCTGCCCCTCCTGTGCTGTTCAGTGTAGCCACCTGCCAGGGATCCCTTCCCTTCTTCTGCCCTCCGAGCTGGATTCCTGAGTGTGTTCCAGCTGCTTCCATGCAGAGTTTCACCGAGCTCACAAGGTCTTGGGAAGACCCTGGTGGAAGCTGCTTTCTCTCACTGATATTTTTTTTTTTTCTTTCCTCTGAAAAATTCTTTGGGATGGCTGGGTGCTGGGATTTCCAGTCCCAAAGCCCATCCAGGCTGCACTGGCAAGGGGGTCGTGGGATAGTTTGATTGACAATGGCCCTGCTGCAAACTGCCCATGATTTGACTGGTAAAACACAAGGATTGGGAATGGGCAGATGAACAGGAGGAAAGTCTTGACCAGTGGGGGTCTGAGTGTGGTGTGCTGGGGGGAAGAGTTGGCATGGATCAGTCTGTAAGCCCAAGGGAAAAGCAGTCCCTAAGTTGTCCTGAAGACTGTTATCCCAAATGAGTCTGCTGGGACAGGAGACAGCTTGTTCCCCAAACTGTGCCTTTTAGCCTTCCCCAGAGGGCTTTGTGCCTTTTACCTCAATTCTGCTGCTCTTTCCTCTTGCAACCACTGACTCGGCTCCTTCCCAGGCCTTGCCCAAGTCTCTGGGCAAACTGGCCAAGCTGACGAACCTGAACGTGGACCGGAACCGTCTGACGGCGCTGCCGGCGGAGATCGGGGGCTGTGCCAACCTCAACGTGCTGTCCCTGCGGGACAACCGCCTGGCACTGCTGCCCCCCGAGCTGGCCAACACCACCGAGCTCCACGTCCTGGATGTGGCTGGGAACAGGTGAGCAGCAGGAATGTGCACGGGCTAGCAGGGGTGTTCCTGGGCAGGCTGCTGTGAGGGAGATGCTGGATACATGTGGATCCTGGGATCTGCAGTGTGGAGAAGCCCAGGTTGGCTGCTAGTGGATCAACCTTTGCCTGGGAAGCCCTTCTCTGTGTCACCTGAGCACAGGGTGGAGATAACACAGAAGTGTGAGGGCATTTTGCCACGTGTGAAATAAAGATCAGGGGAAATTCCTGGCGACTGACTTCCTTCCTGCGGATTTTGTGGTCTGTGTCTGTCATCAGTCCCCAGGTGATCGGTGCCAAAGCCTCATTCATGGTGTGCAGGTACCTGGGAGCTGTTCTGAGTTCTGCAGGTTTGGGCTGCAGTTCTGTTTGCTGGGGCTGGTATTTTTGGGAGCAGTTGGAAGCTGACCAGAGGTGCTGTAGAACGCTCTGTACACTGGGCTGTGAAAGGATTGTTTTTCTGCCTCCAAACCCCTCATTTCACACTTCTGGTGGGAGTTGTCCTTGGCTAAAGGCTGGTGAGGGTGGGTTACTGGAGCCCAGTCCACGACCATGAGCAGCACAGATCAGCTGCTCCAGTGGTGCAGGAGTGAGGGATCCATAGCAGCTTAGCTCTGTCTCTCTGTTCAGATGGGGCAGCCTGGAGCTGAGGTGAGTTCTTTCCTGATCAGGTGAGTTTAACAAGCAGTTGTTCTTCTCTTTTGCAGGCTGCAGAACCTGCCCTTTGCTTTGACAAATCTTAACCTGAAAGCCCTGTGGCTGGCAGAAAACCAGTCCCAGCCCATGCTGAAATTCCAAACCGAGGATGATGAAAAGACAGGAGAAAAGGTTCTCACTTGCTACCTTCTCCCTCAGCAGCCCTCTCCCAGCCTGGGTAAGAATCTGTGTCACAAGCACTGGCTGCAGAGCCATGTGCTCCAGAGGGGGCTGAGGCCTTGAACCTTCCTCCCTGCTGGGTTGGACTGTCCCTCACTGTGATTCCTGTAGCAGGTCCAGGCTCCTGAACAACTGGGACACTTTTCCCAGGCAGAGATTGTTAAAACTGAGGAATTGCTTCTCTGCCAGGTGATAAGGAAGCTACAGCCTTGTCTCTGAGTGTTCTCCTTTGATCTACTGACTGAGCAGTTCATTACCTATTGTCCTATCACCACGATATTGTGTCAATACTACGGATTCCTGCCTTAATCCTACATTTCTCCTTACTTCTTGAGTAAGGAGCACTAGAGCTAAACCATCAGGCCCTTCTGTAGAGGTGGCTGTAGATCTGGTGGGAGATGTACAGAAGGTGACAGGAGCTGGAGGCCACAGCCTTTGTCCTCAAGGCCTCTGATGCCATGGGCAGATACGGCAGAAGTGCCCTAATGGGATGAGCACTGACTTCCATCCAAGCCTGGAACCCTGCCCCTTCTGAAAGGAGCTCCCACTGTGTTCCCTCTCTCCCCAGAGAACCTCCTGCAGAACAGTGTGGATGAAAGCTGGACAGACACCAACTTAAACAGAGTCAGTGTCATCCAGTTCCTGGACGAACCCAAAGGAGATGATGAGGAGGAGTCTGGAGCTGAGAGACGGGTAAGAAGTTCCTGGAGGCTTGTTGGCTCCCTGTGGAAACACAGGCACAAGCTAAGCTTTCCGACTATGGGGAGCCACTGTGGTGTCCACATTTCACCCTGTGACACTGCTGCGGGCACGTGTGAGATTTTCACAGCCCAAAGGGCATTTGGTGCCCTGAGGAGCCAAGCAGGAGTGAAAGGGAATGAATTCCTTGGGAGCCGTGGTGCAGGATCTCGTTTTGAGGCTGTCCCATCCACGGGAGTGGAGCTGTAACACTGAAGTACCCAGGGAGCACTGGGGATGTCCAGAAATCCCAGTAGAGCACTGTCAGGGCAGGGTTTAGCTGACCCCTGTCATGGGGAAGAGCTGCCCAACCAAACCCAGGCCATCCCTCTCCCTCCAAGCACAGAGCCAATGCAGTCTGTGCTGTGGGAATCCTGTTAGTAAAGTACTAAATACTGTAGGCAGCCTCAAAACCTGCAGGAGATCATTGTGCTTTCAGTGCAGATGCAAAGGACAGGATGAAAGTTTGTTTTCAGCGAGTGCTCCGGGGGTTTCAGTCTCCTGCAGGATTTTTTTTTCCTTTTTATCTTGTGGAAAGCCATTTTTGAAATCTGAATCCTGATGAGTGGTGTTTGCAGCTGTCCTGGCAGCATGTGTGTACCACTGGCATTGGGGAGTTTGGGGTTTTTTTGATTGTTTTTAACATTTTTATTAATTTTAGAGTGCTGGTTTTCTTGACTCTTGCTTGGGATGGAACTTGCTAAGCAGCACCAGTTCTGGTGCTTTCGGGCTTGGCAGACTCCAGAGGGATTAGGAAGATATCCCAAGAAGATTTCCTACCTGTGTTCTGGAGGGGTTTCAGTGTCAATGATTTTGCATTTACTAAGCCTGAAGCACCATTTAAAACTTCCTGTCTCCATCGTTCCTCCCAGTCCCTCTATCAGATGGAGAGCAGGATGATGTCCAGAGGCAGCTGAGTGTTCCCTGCCTCCGTTCTTTCCCCATCCTTCCCAGCCACAGGCTGTGTGAGGCCTGGAGCAGATCCTGCAGTGGGACACGTTGCTCGTGTCTGGCTGAGGCTCTGGCTCTCTGATAAAGGTGTTAGTTACCTGCAGGGGTTCGTTCCTGAGGCCTGGCACGCACTGCCCAGGCTGGAATCCCTTTCCTGAGGGTTTCCCTTCGGCAGGGCCTGCAACGCCGAGCCACCCCTCACCCCAGCGAGCTGAAGGTGATGAAGAAGGTGATCGAAGTTCGGCGTAACGAGGTGAACGCCGCAAAGGCCGATGCTGACCTCAACTCTCCGAACTCAGAAGTGAGTGCTGGTCACTGGGCGATGGATAACCATAGAAAACATGGAATCGTGGAATGGTCTGGGTTGGAAGGGACCTTACAGACCATCCAGTTCTACCCCTTGCCATGGGGGGCACCTTCCACTAGGAACATGTAGAGAATCTGGGGAATGGAGAGTCAGAAAGGACTGACTTTGGGGAAAGATTGGGAGGGACTGAGAATAGATTGTCTGGATTCCAAGGGTTGGGAATCTGCCTTGTGGTGTCAGGACAGGCCACTTAGATAGAGGAATAGATGGGACCAGGAGACAGGGAACGGTAAGGGGAACTATGTGTGAAGGTGCCACTTTTGTTATAGCACAGGGAGGGAAAGAGAAGGCTCTGATATTCCCAGTAAGGAATGATGGGAATGGAGCACTTGGAGAAGGCACCTTGCTGCCCCGGTGGGATGCTGAGAATAAATGCCTACACAGGAGGTGGAATGAGGTGGACCCAGATGTAATGGAGGAGGCTCAGTAGGGGAAGCCTTGGGCAGCCTGAGGGAAAACTGGTTCTGTTGGTGCTGGAGCATTCCCACCTCACACCAGTCACACTGCATGGCTCCGTTTGCTGCTCTGGGGTCCATCCTGACCATCCCAACTGTCCTCTCAGGAGAAGAGGCTGAGTGCCACGTCGAACCGCAGTGAGGACTCCCACGTGTCCACCAGCACTGCCTCTGCAGACTGCAGGGCAGAGGAGGGGGACCGGGGCTGGCCCAACGGGCAGGTGCCCAACGTGCGGGAACTGGAGAAGGAGGCGAAGCCCAGAGCAGAAGAGGAGCATAAGGAAGCTGCTGGCCAGGAGGAGGAAGATGTGGAGGTGGAATACAATGAGGTAGGAGCCTGGGAACTGCAGCAGGGTCATGAGGAAAAGTGGAAGGACGTGGAATTTTCAGAGGAAGTGGGAAATGGACGTACAGGTAAACGGGTGTGGGATATGGGCATCACTGGAGGCAGATCCAGGGCATGGAAGGCAGCACAAGCTGAGATTGGGCAGCCTAAGCTGAGACTGAGGCAGCCTGTGGGAGTTGGATCCTTGGGAGACTGGGCTGGACAGTGTGGGAGCCTGACAGGGGATATGGGAAAATGGGAGTGACAGTGACAGGTTTGAGTGTCCTTCATCCCTGGAGCTGACAGAAGCGTGTCTGGGGGAAGGAGTTGATATGGAAAAAGGCAAGGATGGTGCAATAGTAACACCTTTCCTGCATGTCCCTGAGCACACGAGCAGTGAAACTGGCTCTGCCCAGTCTGGGAGGGGGGACACGTGGCCAGCAGGTTCTGCACTGCCACACATCAGTTACCTGAGGCTCACGGCCTGTCTGGGGCTTTGCCATCGCAGCCCACTGTACACTTTGCTGAGGACACACTGATACGGAGTGAGGATGAGGATGAAGATGAAGAGCGACCATTCCCAGTGGAGAAGCAGAGGCTTATCCGCAAGGACACGCCCCATTATAAGAAACACTTCAAGATCACTAAACTGCCCAAGCCAGAGGCAGTGGTGGCACTTCTGCAGGGGCTGAACAGCGACGGGGTCCCTAAAGAGGAAGAGGAGTTGGGAGGCTGCAATAACAACACAGAGCCCGAGGAACAGGAGGAAGCATGGGATGAGGATGACAGGAAGAATGGAGCTTTGTCTGCTCAGCCGTCCGTGAAGGTAAGGTCTTGTGGGGAGGGGGAAGGTCAGAGGGGTGCACACCTGCCCTCTCCTCCTTTGACCTGCCAGGCAGGCTGATGTTGTCCCGAAGAAACCGCTGGCAAGAGGCTCCAGCACTTGGGGATGTGCTGGGGGTGGGAGAGCTGAAGCTCGTTCTGGGGCTCATAGGGTTGTCCAAGAGCTGTGCCGTGTTGCTGTTTCTGACTCCTTCACTGTATCAGGTCCTTGCACTCTCCCTGTCCTGTGTGATGTTCCCTGTGCTGCAGGAACAGTTCTCTGCCCCATCGCTGATGGGTTCTGCTGTTCCTTCCAGCCACCTCCTCGCTTGCTGGTTGTTGCCCCTCATTCACAGCAGGATGGGCTTTATCCCTGGGTGGATCCAATCTCAGACTGATGTTTGGGCCACTGACACTTGGCTTGCTGCCACAGTGCTTCCAGAGGGGAGCCCAGAGCATGCCCTTCCCTGTGCTTCCACCAAAATGGAGCCCGATGGATGCTGTGTTGGGATTTAGGGGAGCTTGTGCTCTGGAGCTGTGCCATGGGGCCATGGTGGGCCTTATTGGTCATACTGGGGCTGATGAGATTCGAGGTCCTTGACTCTGCTCAGCCGTTAGGGACACACAGAGGTTCCTGCTTGAGGAAGTTCGTCACAATGGAATAGGAGTACACGGATGAGGAGCACTGCATGAGGCTGGAGCAGTTCTCCCCGAAGCTGCTGTGAGGTGTATTTGGCAGGCAGGGATTAGGATATGGTTGAGTCTCCATCTTAGTCTGACACCAGCAAATCTCACAGGTGGGATGTGGGTCTCCAGACATAGAAGCTGCTGGAGTAAAACCTGTTCCTGCTGTAACTGCACGTGCTCCAGACTGCCAGGATCATTCCCACCCCCAGTGGAGCTCAGATTGCCAGGGGAAAGTCCTTGCCCTCACTTTGCTTTGGAGCCTTTTCCTCCGTGGGTGTTTGCCCTGCTCTGCCTGAGCTGATGCAGCCCATCCCGTGCTCCCTAGGGATGAGATGTACAGTCTCCCTGTTGGTGAAGTTCCTCAGAAGGAAAAGGAGTTGCTGCTGCTTGTAGGAATGTATGAAGCTGTCCTGAGTCCCTTCATCCAAGATCTGCTGTGCTTGGGAAACCCAGAAAGGTTTTTTAGCCAGGGACTTGGAGCTGAGGAGGCGCTGAAGCTCTGGCAGAGCCCACGAGACCTGTCCAGGTGTGCTGTACCTGTCAGAATTACCTTGGTTATGGGCTAAGCCTTCTGCCTGGGAATCAGTTCTCCTTTCTGTGGGGCTGGGTTGGATGCCTGCTCCATGAAGGCATTTATTAGCTGCCACCTGAGCTGCATTCCAAGAGTGGGGATGTGGGGAGCAGCGTCCCTGTGCAGGGGAGGCTCAGGTAGGAGGTGATATGTGCATTGAAGAAGGAGGCAGGGCAGGCTGTGCAGGAGGCTGAATCCTTAAACCAGAGGGTTTTGTTGCCAAGACAATTGGTTTTCAGAAGAAATCCTAAGGTTTCCTGCACTTGGGAGCAGGATCCTGGGTGTCTGACAGGATGCACTGTTTCACCAGAGAAAGGCACCGGTGCAGTTGGGTTTGGGATTGCTTTTTGCTGTGCAGCAGCTGGTGGGACCACAGGCTCCTTGGTGCTTTCTCCTGTGTTTAACTCTTCCTCCTTCCTGGAATAACCTGGTACAGAGCAGGGTGAGGTCAGCTGATGGTGGTCAGCTTGGGGGTCATGGCCTTGGGGTGCCAGCACAGACAGAACCTTGGCTTAGGGGGTGCCCCTGGGCCCGAGCACAATGGCACTCAGCATAATGGGAGCCCAGGAACAGCCCTGGCACTGCTGAGGTGGTGGGCAGGAGTGGGGTCAGCTCTGGAGCTGTGGAGGTCAGGAGTGACTCTGTGAGTGGGCTCAGCTCTGGAGCTGTGGAGGTCAGAGTGACTCTGTGAGTGAGCTAAGCTCTGGAGCTGTGGAGGTCAGGAGTGACTCTGTGAGTGGGCTCATCTCTGGCGCTGTGGGGGTCAGAGGGACTCTGTGAGTGGGCTCAGCTTCCAGAGGGCTGTGTAGTTCAGCGGGGTACCTGTTGAGTGGCCTCACGCTATGGATACTGTGGAGGTCAGGAGTGACTCTGTGAGCTGGCCCAGCTGTGGAGCTGTGGAGGTCAGGAGTGACCCTGGAGCTGGCCCAGCTCCAGAACTGTGGAGGTCAGGAGTGACTCTGGAGCTGGCCCAGCTGTGGAGCTGTGGAGGTGAGGAGTGACTCTGGAGCTGGCCCAGCTGTGGAGCTGTGGAGGTGAGGAGTGACTCTGGAGCTGGCCCAGCTGTGGAGGTCAGGAGTGACTCTGGAGCTGGCCCAGCTGTGGAGGTCAGGAGTGACTCTGGGGGCTGGCCCAGCTGTGGAGCTGTGGAGGTCAGGAGTGACTCTGGAGCTGGCCCAGCTGTGGAGGTCAGGAGTGACTCTGGAGCTGGCCCAGCTGTGGAGGTCAGAGTGACTCTGGAGCTGGCCCAGCTCCAGAGCTGTGGAGGTCAGGAGTGACTCTGGAGCTGGCCCAGCTGTGGAGGTCAGGAGTGACTCTGGAGCTGGCCCAGCTGTGGAGGTCAGGAGTGACTCTGGAGCTGGCCCAGCTCTGGAGGTCAGGAGTGACTCTGGAGCTGGCCCAGCTCTGGAGGTCAGGAGTGACTCTGGAGCTGGCCCAGCCCCGCGCAGCGTGCCCAGGCTGCCAGCGTGGCGTGCGTGTGTTGGGTGGTGGTGGTGGTCGTGGTGGCGGGTTTGGTCGATGCTCCACTAATCCGCATGCCTCTTTGCTGGTTCCTGTCCTAACAGGGGGTGTCGTTTGATCAAGCCAATAATCTGCTGATTGAACCTGCTCGCATTGAGGAGGAAGAGGTCTGTACCACTCCTACTGTTCTCTCTCTGCCACAAATCATCCAGTCTGCTTGATTTGCTTCCCAGCCTCACCCATTGTTGTAGGGGGAACTCTGATCTCTCTGGGTCAAGTGGCTTCTGGACCTGGCTGATCACAAACATGATGATCGTTTCCTCCCTGCTTTCCCCTTTCCCTCCTTTCCCATCCCTGAGGTGAGAGTGGCTGCTGCAGAGCAGGAGTGAAGTGGATGTAAAAAACCAAAGGGGCTGAGGGGGAAGTTCCTATTTGCTGTGTGCTGAGGGAGAAGTGAATTAAATAAATGGATATTTCTGGAAGTGTAGGTAACCCTGGAGGAGCAGAGGCCTCAGGAATCAGCCCAGTGCTGTGTGTGACCCTTAGGGATAGGGAGGAGGATCTCACTCATGACACTGTGCCACTGCCTGAGGAAGGCGGACTGGAGACAATGATTTGTGCATCTCCTGCAGCACCTCCAGAACCCCCTCAAGGCTTCACATGCAGCACCTTGGGGTGTCAGAAAGGGGCAGGTGGCACCAAGGTGCCACAAAGTCCCTGGCACGGGGATGGTGTCCGTGTCAAGGGTTAAAGTCTTGTGTCTGGCTGCCTTGGCTTATCCCCTGACTGTGATCAGCTTCCTGGGTTTGTCTGCAGGTTTTCAGTGCCTGCTCTGCGGGGTCCGTGGCCTTCTGCAGGCAGGTTTTCGAGGAGCTGCTGGAAGCAGAGTGCTGCTGTCACTGGCAAGGGGCAGAACCTGTGTCAGTGCCACCGGCTCGCAGAGGTTTCTCCCGTCGGACAGTGCAGGGGCACCAGACCTCTGTGTTACCTGAGTGTGTTACCTGGGACTGCTGGCCTGGGCCTCTACAAGAACTTGGTTCTGCTGCTTCCTCAAGTGTAAAATGGAGACTTTCCTTGGTTTTGGATAAGGCTTTCTGGGAGGGAGATGATGAATCTTTTCCACTCAGGCAGAACATGAGTGGCTCAGGTGTGGTCCCCTGTTAGTGGGTCCTGAAGATTTCTCCATCTTTCTCCATCTCTAGGTCCCTGAAAACCACAGTAACATTTCTTGCATTTCTCTTTTGTGTAATCTTCTGTCACTCAGGTTAAAACTGAGCATAAGCTGGTGCTTCCTGATCCCTCCTCCCCCTTCCTTTGGGGAGTCACTGCTTCCAGTCCTTCTCTCCAGCTGTTGGATGCCCTGTTCCATTTGCAGAGTTTTCCTGCTCCTTGGGGTGCTGTGTCCTAGGAACCTTAGTCTTGTCTCAGACACAGTCTGCCCACCTCTTCCTTGGCTCCTGCTCCACCTGCATCTGATGGAAGGGCCTAGAACTCCTTCCCTGGAGGTGTTGGGTGAAACAACTGGACGTGGCACTCAGTGCTTTGGTCTAGTTGACAAGATGGTGATCAGTCACAGGTTGGACTCAATGATCTTGAAAGTTTTTTCCAACCTAAATGATTCTGTGATCCCTCAGTGGGGCTGGTTGGAGGCCCCAGATTTGCTCTGGTGTCCCCTCAGCACAGCCCCCTTTGTGTGGATCTGTTCCCTCTCTGTGAAGAGGAACGTGGTTGTGCAGCTCCCAAGGACCAGCATGCTAGAGAACCCCCAGACTGGTGGTGGTAGCTGAAGTCACCCCAGAGTAGACCAGCTCTGGGAGGTTGATTTAGGACATTTGATTGTCCTACAGCTTTGGGGAGTGCTTAGCAGGGAATCTTTCACTAGACCAAGCTGCTCCAAGCTCCATCCAGCCTGGCCTTGAACACTTCCAAATCACATCTGCCTCATGTGTTCAGGGATGATTCCATGTCCTTGAGAAGAACCAATGGGCTGCTGGAAACTGAGCAAGGCCACTGCAGAGCAGAGGGCCTGGTGCCCTTGAGCAGCACGGTTTAAGTCCATGATGCTGCTGTCACATTCCTTGTATAATTTAATGCAGCTCTTAGAGAGAAGGAACTACAGGCTGTGTGTTCCTTAAGCCTAAACCATAATCCTGTGCCAGAGACTGATCTTGCCATGGCAGAACTGGAGACACATGCCCAGCTTCTGCCAGCACCCAGCACTGGGGTGTGGGAGCCTGGTACTGGTGTGCAGCAGGGATGCCCAGAGCTCCTGTAGCTGTTGCTGCCAATGGGGTTCTGCTGCAGTGGAAGAGGAATTTTGTTCCAATGTGTGATATCTGATGGTGGATATCTGGATTCCAGTGCTGACTCTGTTCCCAGTGTTTTGTCTCCATCCCCATCTGCCCCACAGAAGTGACTGTAGTGGGATGTAGGGAGGCTTTGGGAGGAGAAAAGCAGCATGTGGAGCGGCTGTTTGCTGGTGTGAGGTGGGACCTGAACTGTTGTCTGGGGAACATTGACAGGATTTTGTCTTCCCCTCCACCCTGGGCTGCCTGGGCAGGGGGAGCTGCCAGTTCCCTCCCTGGGAAGGAGTGAAGGTGGTCAGAGCTCTTGGATGTTGATTTCTTTGCTGCTACTGCTCAGGTGTCACATCCTGTTGGTCCACAGATGGAGTGAGTCAAGTCTTGTCCTTGAAGGAGTCTCATCCTGTGGAAACTGCTCAGGAATGTTACCATTTGTGTTGGAATGCCAGCTTCAGGCCTGGCACCAGTTAGTGTTTGCCAGTGGCAGATGTGACAGCACAGCCTGGTCCTGGAGCATCCCATGCTCGGCAGTTCAGCTGTGGAAAGGCTGGCACACGTAGTGTGGAGTGCTGGGATGTGTCAGGAGCAGTCCTGTCCCTCCTGGAGCATCCCATGCTCGGCAGTTCAGCTGTGGAAAGGCTGGCACACGTAGTGTGGAGTGCTGGGATGTGTCAGGAGCAGTCCTGTCCCTCCTGGAGCATCCTGTGCTCGGCAGTTCAGCTGTGGAAAGGCTGGCACACGTAGTGTGGAGTGCTGGGATGTGTCAGGAGCAGTCCTGTCCCTCCTGGAGCATCCTGTGCTCGGCAGTTCAGCTGTGGAAAGGGCAGCCCCTCGGTGTGCATCGTTGGGATGCATCAGGAGCCATCCTGCCCCTCCCCGTGGGCTGCTCGGTGCTGCTGCACATGTAGAGCTCTGCCCCTCGCCCGGTTTTGTGTTCGTAGGGTGACCGTGACCTTCATCGGGGTGTTGTCAGGCTCGGAATTATTTTGTAGCAAATTTGATTTTCCCACAATGCGACCCATAAATTTTAAACCCAGAAAAGATTAGTAAACTTCTCGTGTAATGCAGGAGAGGTCACGTCACCTGTGTTTGCTCACCTGGCTTGACTGGAGTATGATAGAGCAGAGTCCGTTTGACGTTTGAAAAAGACACAACACTCACGTTTCTATCAATTTTTAAAAGGACCAAAGTTCCCGTTGACTAAGAAAAAATGTGCCATATTTTCTGTTTTAATTAGTCTGGCTTTTAATTTCTTGCCATTGGAATGTTTTTGCGTACTGAAGTGCTAAAGGGCCTTTTGTGTTCTCTATGGAATCATAGAATGGTTTGGATTGGAAGGGACCTTTTAAAGGTCACCCAGTCCCACCCTCTGCCATGGGCAGGGACACCTTCCCCTAGACCAGGTTGCTCCAAGCCCTGTTCAACCTGTCCTTGAGCACTTCCAGGGATGGGGCAGTCACAGCCTCTCTGGGACAGTGTTCTGACACCTTCCTTGCTCTGTGACCCTCTGGTTTGGAGGTGGGATCGTGATCTCTGCCTGTGAAAGTACAGTTTCAAGTTTGGCCATGATAAGGCACAGTTTGGACACAAGTGCCCCTCAAAATGATAGAGATTAATGACTTGTATGATTGCTGCTTGTTCATCATCGGTCGCTGTCTCAGCTGTGAATTCTGTCTGATCCAGAGCTTCCCTAAGGACCAAGGAGCAAACCTGTGGAATGATTTCTTACACAAATGCAGAACTACCTGCAGAGTTTCCTTTCCCTGCTCCAAGAGTGGGCCAGAGTCATCTGATTCTGCTCTGTCACACAATAATCTTGTTGGCTTTCGCAGAGAGAAGGAGCAGAAAGCAGCAGAGGAGTGATTGGCAGAGAGAAAATTCCACGTTCAAACAAAACACTCCACGGCGAATCTGATTATCCCTTCTGAACTAGACAAATGCCCAGTATAACAGACATGGGGCTTTGCTGCCTGGAACCAGGATTATGTACAAAATTCAGACATTAAAATAGCCACTGTAGAAGTTGCCAGGGTTGAAGCACTTATGTGCCTTAAAATGGTGCCCGTTTGCAGCTGTGTGTTCAGAAGGTGTCAGTGGAGGAGAAGGGGAACTCCCAGACAGTTCCGAGACTTTGTGGTGGAAAACAATCCCCAGCTTGGATCCAGGCACTAGATAGAATGAGGCCTGACTGGGATAGGTTGGCATTTCTGGAAGATACAATTTAGCCCCAAAAGGGCTGTGCTCAACTCGGGAGCAGCAAGGCTGAATTCTCAATGAACGTAACACAGAGGATTTGGAAGAGGTCTTGAGGTCAAGTCTTCTGCCACCACTGGCAATCAGACACTACAAACTGTTTCATAAGTCAGTCAAACTTTTTATGAAATACAGATGGTTTCCTCCTGTTACAAGACGTGCACACACACACACAGGTTTCTCCTCTGGGGAGAAACCCAAACCTTTCCAGATTTTTGCTTCTGGAATAATTAGAAAACTTACTTTCAGTTGGAACTGTCATTTGTTAGTTCGTTGTTTTCATTGTATTTTTTCTTGTCCAGTCTCTTCCCTGCTGGCTGACCCATTGCTTGTCCTCAGTGTAATTTTATGGACATGAGCCTGACTCCTTCCAGCCTTCCTTTTGCTGGATTTAGAGGAACCCAGTTCTGGTATTCTTTGGTAAGAAGGATTTCCATTCCCTGCCTTTCTGGCTGCCTTTTCTTTCACCTGATCTACTTGAACTCAGGTTTGGTGACTATGGACAATATCACAGAGTTTATTCAGATTTTAGTACACTAAATTCCATAGTTGTTTCTCCATTTCAAATGTGGCAGTTCCCATTCCTGGATGGGATTTGTCTTTATCCACCT